AAATTTTACGGAGTTTCACTGAAGGAAACCCAAGAACTTAAAGGTAGCTCCCTTTAGTTTTACGATCGCGCGAGCACTGAGGAAGTAATCTGCACATGCTCAAAGGAAACGTCAGTGTTTTTCGATATATACTTTATTACGTCAACATGAGCACAAAAAGCAAAACTGACAGTGAATTTTCTTGGGTTTCCTTCGGTGAAATTCTGTAAAATTTGGCAGATTGGTAATGAATATTTTACTTTAGTCGGAGCTCGTTTTTCAGGGAAATCTATAAGACCAGATTTTTTGCAGCGGTAATAGACATAAATTTGAAAATATCAAAAAAACTGCCCTTACAAACCCTACTTTTTTTGTGCGTAAAATTTGCATCCCGCCGTATTCAATGTACCGTAGGCTGTAGCACGACTGGTTATACAATGTATATGTAGTTTTGTCTCTATAACAAGAGTTCATAATTAACTGTAACCCACATTTAAGAACCTGCTTGATCTTTCTTGGCTAAAAAGGTTCTTATATTTTGGGGTATTAAAATAGGAAATTTCTGGCAGCAGGTTTACGGTGGCCAGAGACAGTTTTCGCATGCGCTCTTGCTAATGCGATTCAGCATGTGCACAAGGATTGCAAAATACAAACATGCCATGATTCAGCAGTTATTTTATTTGCTCAATGCCTGCACTAACTGTGCTGTTTTTCTTCACAATCAACGCAGTGTATTGATGGTTTTAGTCTTTTATGACAAAGGTATGTTAGAAAAGTAATGATGCAAAGAACCCAGCAGTTCGTTGTTATCAAAAAAAACCCAGTTACAGTGGATCTCAACTCACTTGGGCTGTGTGGGTTTTGGAAACATCTTGGAAACTTGGGAACTACATTCCTGAGTTCACGGTTTGATTGTTATTGGAGCCAATCAAGTAGCGAACTTTAAAATGAAAACTACAAGTTTGATCGTGAAGTTCGATTCTAAATTGCAAACTTCACTTCCAAGTTGCGAAAGCAGGTATAGCGATAGCATGCGCCAAAGGAGATGGAAGTGATAACTTAAAAATTCAAACATCAGCTAGATTGGGAAATTGCATATATTGCATATACATTGCATATTGCATATACGAGACTTAAAGCGAACCAATTTTGTACTTGACTCAAAATTAAACTCATTAGAGAAGAAGAATTCAGCTTTATGTTTGTGGTTTAGGAAGGATCTTAAGGACGAGTTGTTGCTTTGTTTGCATATTTCATCAGCAAGTTCCTGATTAAATTGTTGGGTTTGCAAGGTCAGTAGCTAGTCTGTCCAGTGTGTAGATCTTATCACACATGCAAATTAGGTTTCTTAGGCTACAAAATTCACGTTTTGTTGGATTTTTTGACGAGTTTTACCCAGTTGGTTGGCGCTGTTCTGTATTGTCAGTTGACTCTTGCTGTTACATTTAGTCGCTTGTAGGAATATCCGAGGGCTCGAGTTAATGAAGATGTAGATGGACAATTTTCTCTGAGACACATGTTATTATTGATAAGTTTCCTGTGAATTTCTTTGGCAGAAATGCTGGGTGGTTGTTTACAGAACTCTGTATATGTTTCATTCAACATCTTTGGTTCTTGCCAGCTGTGTCTTGTTTCTCCCAATTTTGTGGTTACTGTGTCCATGTTAATCGAAATTGTTGTTGATATCTTGAACAGTGCTTTTTGAATGCTCAAATCTCTTCCTATCTGCCTTTGTGTGGTGGCATTCAACCACCTGTCAACAAAATCCTCTCTTGCTTGATTTGGAATCGCCTTTCCTTGATGTACAAGAAGATTGTGGGCAATACAGTCGAACATTGATTATCTGGACTCGTCGGGACCTCGGTAAATAGTCCGGATAATCGAGAGTCCAGATAATCAAGAGTCCAGATAATCGAAAACATGAATATTAATGAGATAGAAATGTAAACCAAAGGTATACAGCAAAGAAAACATCATTTTAATTGTGAAATCTTCACAGCCTGTATGTATTTACAAATAAAAACTTTCAGTTCATGTATTTACAAAGGTCTAAAATGTTCAAGCATATTTGTTTACTTCAAAGACTTGTAGCTTGATCGCATTGCGAAGTCCATCATTCGTCTTAGCTGCATCAACTGCACAGGGTCAATATCGTTCTGTGATTCCATCCACGACAAGCATTTTTTGAAACATTACGCTGCCTCTTTGGGCGATACTAGTTTCTCGTCCTTGCCCTCATCTTCCTCATCGCTACATGCACTTTCACTTTCCGTCAAATCTCCAACAACGGTGGCTAAAATCTCTTCATCAGACATTTGCAGTGAAGTCGGGAGCTCGTTTTCCAGATTAAGCTAGTCTTTGACATCGCGAGCATTAGGCATTTCCTCATTGTCAAGTTGCTCTAC